TTTCATAATTTCTTTACAGCCTTGAACATGGCATTCAGCCTGACGGGCAAATGCCGTCTGAGAAGACCATCGGAGGCGGAGACGACGCTTTCAACACGTTTTTCTCCGAGACGGGCGCCGGCAAGCACGTCCCCCGTGCTGTCTACGTCGATCTGGAGCCGACAGTGTGCGATGAAGTCCGCACGGGCACGTACCGTCAGCTCTACCATCCCGAGCAGATCATCTCGGGTAAGGAGGATGCTGCCAACAACTACGCCCGCGGGCACTATACCATCGGGAAGGAGATCGTGGACTTGGTGCTCGACCGTGTGCGCAAGCTGGCGGACAACTGCACGGGCCTCCAAGGTTTTCTCATCTTCCACGCCACGGGCGGTGGCACCGGCTCGGGCCTCGGCGCGCTGCTCCTGGAGCGTCTATCTGTGGATTACGGGCGCAAGTCCAAGCTGTCTTTCGCTGTGACACCTGCGCCCCAGGTGGCCACCGCCGTGGTCGAGCCCTACAACTCCGTCCTGTCCACCCATGCCCTGCTTGAGCATACCGACGTGACTTTCTGCTTGGATAACGAAGCTCTCTACGACACGTGCCGCCGCAACCTTGATATTGAGCGCCCCACGTACACGAATCTGAACAGGCTCATCGCCCAGGTCATCTCCTCCTTGACCGCTTCTCTGCGTTTCGACGGCGCTCTCAATGTGGATGTGACAGAGTTCCAGACCAACCTGGTACCCTACCCCCGCATTCACTTCATGCTCACGTCCTATGCGCCCGTGATCTCTGCGGAGAAGGCCTACCACGAGCAGCTCTCTGTGGCCGAGATTACCAACTCGGTCTTCGAGCCCGCGAACATGATGACCAAGTGCGACCCCCGTCACGGCAAGTACATGGCCTGCTGCCTCATGTACCGCGGTGACGTGGTCCCCAAGGATGTCAACGCCGCGGTGGCCACCATCAAGACTAAGCGCACGATCCAGTTCGTGGACTGGTGCCCCACCGGCTTCAAGTGCGGCATCAACTACCAGCCCCCCACCGTGGTGCCTGGCGGCGACCTGGCCCGCGTCCAGCGCGCAGTCTGCATGGTGGCGAATACCACGGCCATCGCCGAGGCCCTTTCCCGCATCGACCACAAGTTCGACCTCATGTACGCCAAGCGTGCTTTCGTCCACTGGTATGTGGGTGAGGGTATGGAGGAGGGTGAATTCTCTGAGGCGCGTGAGGATCTGGCCGCGCTGGAGAAGGATTACGAGGAGGTTGGTGCGGAGACGGCCGATGCGGACGGGGAGGGTGAAGAGGGTGAAGAGTACTAAGAAGGGCCGGGTCGAACGGGAGATGTAGAGTGGGTTTATACCAGCATCAGTAAGACGGTGGCTGAGTCTTAATCATTCAGTGGATTGGGGACTGTTGCATGTGATCTCGGGTCACCAGCTTTCATCCCTGTGTCATGTGTCCGTAAGGAGGTGTTTTCAACGTCACAGACTCAGAATATTCACGCATCGATAATAAGGGGTATCGGAACGCACAAAAAGGAATACGGGATATCTTTGTGAGTGAGACCTGACGTTCCTAGTCTGATTGCTACTCTAAATGCTTCTATTCTCGAATGCACCTCCTCTTCATATCAGTCTATGCTTCCTGTTTGATGAGCTAGGCCCCTCAAACCCATGCGTGTCAGGGGAAGGACGCTGGATGTGCCGTGACCTTGAGTCACACCACGTGTGCAAAATGTCCTCGACGAGAGTGGAACACAATCACCAGTCTGCGCTCAGAAGAAAAAGAAATAAGTATGATGGTGCTCTTCCGCTTCGCAAATCACTGCCACCACAGAGACGACGCTTTCGTCACATTTCTTCGGTTCCTTTGGGTGGTCCCCGGTCTGCTCACCTCCTGCCTTCCATATTTCATCTATGCCGTCTTTTGAGCATTCAATAAACACCAAGAGCAATAAAATGACAGGCAAGCGAAGGCCACTCATGCAATTTCCCCACAGGCAGTCTCTTACGCGGAGGAAGGTCAGAGTCAATTTTTTCGATTGCAACGTCATGGTTTACATGTGATTACTCACTCGTCGGCAAGGGCTTCAAGTCAAGGTCGATACCTAAAAAAGAAGACAGGCTCTCTGAAGCCTCCTTCAGGTCAGCGAAATCAATCGGTTTATCCGAAATAATCGTCCCGTCCATCAAGAATAAGACCGTGCCCCCGAACGGGGCAATTTTCGTGTCCGTGTGCAGCTTCTCGACCCTCAGGCCTCGCGCAAAGAATAGCTCAGTAACCTTGTATACCAAACCCGGGTGGTTCACGCCCTCTACGTTGAAATTTGCCTTCCATGCAGGCTTCGGCACGACTTGGTTGGCCCGCTCCGCGGTGACCGGATGGGTAATGACTGACATGCCTCCTACCTTCCCGAGCTTTTGAGTGATTTGGTCCGCGTCTGGCTTCGGTGCGGCCACGCGCATCATCAATGAGAAGTCACAGCCCATGCGCATCATTCTTGATTCCTGGATATCTCCATTGTTGTCCAAGACCAGCTTGGCGATGTCGAAGACAATGCCGGCGCGGTCTGGCCCCGTGGCCGTGAGAATGAAATGGGAGTCGGCGGGGGTGGACGCACGTGACACAGAGACCATGCCTGCACGCGCCAAATTTACACGTACCATGTGCATCATTGTCGGATGCATGGCAGCTGGTAAGAAAATATGCGGAGGTAAACCGGATGTATTCTATTTAATGGACTTGAACGAGGATCTTTCAAATCATTGACCCATAACACAACACACTTTTCAGCAGAAGCAGTATACTGATTCAAAATGCACATTGGGCAAGTGCAGTCACCCATCAGGGATGACTAGCAGATGGAAGCATTCTCCCTCAACGCGAAAAAAGGGAGCGTAGGAAAAGATAAAATTTGTTTACAAAACCGTAAGAGGGCCCTAATATCCCACTACGACGCACCCCGCTTCAAATTTGATGAAAAAGTGGAGAGCATGGCTGCGTCTTGTCCCGGCAAAGCTGGTGGGAAGCAAGTATGGAAGTTGAAGAGGAACTCCAAGTGAGAAGGGGTGTTCGGATCGATGAAGCTACGTTTAGAACCCCCCAGTGTCAAATCAAAAGTCAAGGATGCTAAGACCTTCATGATAATGGCACTTGTTACAGACAACGTGCGTTCTAGAACGCGGTGTCGATCTTTCCGCGGGCAAGCGCCCTGCCAAAGCCAAGTTCTCAAATGCACCGCCCTCACGAGAAGGCCTCAGCGATGGCCCCTCTATGGCGACAACGCGTTTCATTTCGAGTCCGGGCCACATTCAGCCCACGAGCCGAACATGCCCAATCATAGCGATCGCGCACACTGTTGTTCACAGCGGGCTCGATGGTACCTGGCCATTTTCACCTGTTTAGCCGCCTGTTTCCTTCCTGACCTTATCCCAGCACGCCAGCAGTTTCCTCTCTTCACGTTCCCGTGTCCGGCTTGAGCCCGGCCTTCGGCTTTGACCCTGCCTGCCCCCCTCTCTTCATCTCTCCCGTTTAAATCTTCTTAAATGACAGAGGAGCGTGCAATTTAAGTCTTTCTGAGCAAGCTCGTTGGAGGATTGGAAGCTGCGATCGTCCAACCTTGCCCTTGTCTTCCCTTTCACCGTCACCTCAACCACCCCATCCACACAATTGACGTGACATGAACTGTTTCCTGGCTTCGCTTGCGAAGAGATCCTGACTCTGTGTTTGCTTCCGTTTAATGTCCGTCATGATCGACTCTTTTTTTGCACCCAGGCATTGCTAATTTCACTTGTTTCCTTCCACCCCTGCCAAAGTATCTAAGCACCAGACTTCTACTGTCCTAGTTGCGTTTCAGCCTTTGCACGCCAAAATGTCGACTATGAAGTTTAAAGGGTGCAACAACTTTCGGCAACGCCTCGTTTGTGCTACGTTGAGCGGGAGGCCCTTGCTTATCACGCACATCCGGTCGGAGGAGGAGGAACCGGGGCTGCGGGACTTCGAAGGAGGCTTCTTGCGCCTGCTGGAGCGCTTGACCAACGGATGTCAGGTGGAGATCAACGAAACCGGCACGGTGCTGCGCTATGTTCCCGGCATCATTGTAGGTGGACGGCACGAGCATGATTGCGGAAGTGCGCGGTCCATCAGCTGGTTCTTGGAGGGCATCTTGCCCCTGGCGGTGTTTGCGAAGCAGCCCCTGCATCTCTCGTTGAGCGGTCTCACCAATGACAGCTTCGATGTATCGGTAGACAATGTTAAAGCTGTCATTTTGCCTATATTGGCCTTTTTTGGGGCGGAAGGCGCGACCCTCAATGTGAAGAAACGGGGCCTGCCCCCGAGTGGGGGGGGGCACGTAGAATTTTCGTGCCCCATTGTGCGAGAGCTTCGACCATGCAATCTCGTTGACGCCGGCTTGATCAAGCGTGTCCGAGGCGTGGCGTATTGCGCAAAGATCTCACCGCAGTTCGCCAACCGTGTGGTGACGTCGGCCCGCGGCCTCCTGAACCGCCTGCTCCCGGACGTGTACGTGCACACGGATCATTACAAGGGCCTGGCCGGCGGCCACAGCCCCGGCTTCGGGCTGACACTGGTTGCAGAGAGCACCACCGGCTGTTTGCTAGCTGTGGATGTGCATGCCAAGGAGGGGGCTCTACCGGAGGATGTGGGTGAGCGGGGGAGCGCGCTGCTGCTTGAAGAGGTGCGACGGGGCGGATGCGTGGATTCCGTGGGGCAGGCGCTGGTCTTGCTTTTGATGGCGCTGGGGCCGGAGGATGTCTCGAAAGTGAGGATCGGCCAGCTCACCATGCACGGTATACAAACGCTGCGGCTGGCGCGCGAGGCCTTTGGAGTCACCTTCAAGATCCGGGCGGACACTGAGACGGGGACAGTGCTGCTCTCCTGCTTGGGGAGTGGCGTGAGAAACTTCAGCAAGAAGGTCACGTAATGCCAATTTCTTCGTTTGGTGATGTACAAAGCACCCAAGTAAAGTAGCAAATACTCAACTTCCTATAAAAAAATCAGACTGTACAATTGCTTTCCAATTAAATAAACACTCTCCTTCTCCGTCTCGCTCAACGTCCTTGAGGGGGACGAATATTGCTGTTGCCTCCGCTGCAAGCACTGCTTCCTCTCACGCCGAGCTTTTGCTGGTGCCCGAGAAGCTGTTGTTGGTGCGCCATCCCATTTCCAGCCGCTACACTTTTCTTTTGCCCCACACTCTGCCTAAGCTTAGTGTACCAGGCTTGGTACCTGGCGAGCATAGCATCCTTCTTCCTGCCCGCCTCTTTCTCCCGGTTCAGGCGCACGGTCAGACTCTCCACCTCGGCCTCGAGGCTCTTGACGCGGGCGGTCTCCCGCAGAGAGGCCACGTGGTTGGCGGGGTTGCTCTCGTGCGGGTACTTCTCTCGAAACTCCTCCAGCGCCGCCCGCAAGCCCTTGAAGCGCTTCGCGTACAGCTCCTGAAACTCCAGAGTTTCCCGACGGATCCGCTCGTTCTCCTGCCGGGCCCGCTCCCCGTCCTCGGCCCTCTTGATGAGCAGGGCGTTCTCGTCGCCTAGCGTCTTCATGCACGCCAGCAGACGCACCACCTCTCCTTGCTGCACGGCCTCCACCCCTTCCAAGAAACCGCCGCCGCCCCCGACGGTACCGCTGCCGACGCTACTTGAAAGTGGCGTACTGGAAGCGGTCGCAGTGGACGAAGAGCTCTTCCTTGAGCGGGACAGGTTCGAAGCCGCCGGCAAGGCTGTCGAGGCACCCTGGCGCGAGAATGGCGATTCTTCCGCCCCAGCCGACGTCCGCGGGGGTGCGGCGACGGCAACCGAGGAGGGTTTGCGCAGACTGGCAGCTGCACCCCGTCCAGCCCCCCGCGAGTGTCGGGAGGAGCCCAAGGCGCTGCTCCCGCCCTCCCAGGCCAGAGAAGCCCCCTCGCGTGCCGCGGCCTGCCGGTTATTGACGAGGAAGAAGGAGTCGCCCAGAGTCGAGGACAGGTAGCGTCCTCCGGGCACACCCTGATGACCGCCAGCGCCAGTGGGCTGGTAAAGCCCGCTGGAGAAGAGGGGCTGAGACCCGATGGCTTGGAGGGCGCGCTCGAGGGCCAGCATGTCGTCCACAGCCCCCGTGTCTGCGACGGTGCCCGTGCCGCCCATGCTTGCGGTGCTGCTGACCATGGCGGAGGAGCACAAGGATCCTTCTGTGGCCAAGTTCTTGCTGGATGGAGCGGGCGGGGGACGGGAGGCACTTTTACCGAACGCGGTTGGGATGGAAGAAGTCCGCTCCCGCCTTCTCAAAAAATGCTGCAGGGTTCTCGCCTGCCGGGCATGCCCGTCCGAGAGGAGCACGAGGGCGGCCACTGTCTGTGAGCCATGAACAATGCGGGAGGTGGTGCAATGAGCGCGTAACAGTACACTGGACCCCGGCCCAGCGAAGTTGGACCTAGAAATCGCGACCAGGTTATGATGGATAAGACAGTCCAACTATTAAAATCCTCTTTCTCTCCTCCAAGCGAAAGCATCGGCTTAAAATCTCTGGCATTTTGACAATGGACTAGCGTGCGTACGTACCAAGCTCCGAGTACAGGGCAGTCGCTCGGCCGCCTCCAGGAAGCAGTGAGAGGCCTCACAATGCTCCTGCACCGCCTCAAGCAACCGTCCTTCGCGTCGCAGCTCCTCTGCTTGGGTAGCATGGCGATGAGCCTCCACTATGCTGCTAGAATCCAGGTCCAGGCTCCCGCCAGGAGCATTGTCGCCCCCAACACGGGCGTCGCTTCGACTGACATCCGTGACAGGCTGACTCCTTCCGGTCCTGACGAAAGGTAGTATGCTTTCCGTTGTGGACGCCGCCATTCTCGGATCGGTCAACCATTGAGACAGCATCCCATCGCTTGTGTAGGCAATATTGTGGAGTGAAGCACGCTGTTAGCCTGGTGGGGTGCGGATTCTCATGCCTTGAGCCATCTCGCGTGAGTTACAGACGAACATGCGCAACACTCCCCGCACTAACATTGTGACCCAGAATGGAGATTCAAATCAATCTACCCGCGTCAACATCGCGGTATGCCACCATGGTTCTAGAAATCGGGGAATGCATGCATTGAATGCGCCGGACAAACGGTGTACTCATGTGAAGCGCTCGCCCTTTCCACGACACCTCGTGCTCGGCATCGCAGTTCCTCGCGTGACGCACGGAAAAGGAGCAACAAAGCAATGTTAATCATATTGAAAGCTTTCACATGTACAATCGCATCACTGCTCCAGATACTTTAAAGATCGGGATTTCCCGTCGTGCGTCTTGCAAGGCAAGGAATGCTGCTGAGAAGGAAGCCCCTCATCTCGGTCCTGGGAGTCTTGGCCTGCCTTATGGCAGTAAGCATTCGTCTCCCGCTCTCTACCGCATCAAAGGGCGACAATGAAGACGGTAGCATCCACTTCATCAGTGAGCATTTTTCTGAAGCAAAGGATGCAGGAGAATCTACGTCGGAAAGCGCTCAATATTCATCTGTGGAAGCGCCGGAGGAGGTCGAAGGGGGCGTAGCCCCAGGGAAAGCCAGGGGAAAAGCCCGGAAAATTATCCCGGATAAGATCCGTGCAGTCAAGACGCCTGTTAGCGAAAGCCATGAAGGAGAAAGCTCGGTACCTTTAGAAACAATTGTGGAACGTCTGGAGGAGCTGGAGCGGCGCGTGCAGGAGGAGGAGGAGGACGACGAGGAAAGGGAGGACCCGGGTTTCTCGTTGGACAGCCTGGATGATGACAACAAGTCGATGCTTGAAATGTAGGTACACATTTGAAGTCCTGGTGCATGCGCGGGGAAAATGGAGGGAACTTGTGTCGGATTTTGGGGAGAAAAGATCCGGGACGACGGCATCTTTCCCACAAACTGCCCTTCCCCCCAGTGTCTCCCAGACGGCCTTTGACTACGTCACCACGCGGCTCACGCCCAAGACGGACCGGGAGTGCTCGTGGAGCTACAGTCAGGGAAAATGCGTGCCGGCATGCCGGTGCCGCTTCCAGTTCCTTGCGGGCGACTACACCCTGTCGCGCGCTTGCCGCCTGAACCGGAATGCCACCGCCCTGGGCCTCTGCGACCCGAGTGGGCTCGAGGATAGCGACGAGAACATGCTCGTCCGAGCCCGGCGCCTGCTTGTCCGAGGCCTTGGGAGTCTGGACGCGTTCCTGGACCGTCATGCCCCGAGCACGAGTCCCGAGTGCGATTGGCAGTGGTCCTCGCTCCGGTGCGCTCCCCCCTCGGTCTGTCGCTTCTACTTCAAGCTAGGAGACTATCACATTGGCCGCTCTTGCCGGCTGCGGACGGTAGTAGAGGCAGAGCTGGAGGCGATCGAAGTTGCCAAGGCAAGGATGATGGAGGAGGAGGAGGAGGAGGAAGAGGAGGAGGAAGAGGAAGAGGAAGAGGAAGAGGAAGAGGAAGAGACGGAGGAGGCGGGGCCAGAAAAAGAATTCGAACATGTGGAGGAGGTAGCGGGTAAGGCAGCTGAGAGCATGGCTTTGAATGGGAAGGAGGAGGAGGGTTCAGAGGGCGAAGGGATGGACAGGGGCGTGGGCTTCGGCGAGAATGGGGAGGAGAACGAGGAGGCAGCGGGTAGCGGTGTACATAAAGGGAGAGAGGGGAGTGAGGATAAGAGGGGGTATGAGGGCGCATCTATAGAGGACGAAGATGAAAGACTTGTGAAGGCGTGACAAAATAGTGCGAATGGTGGATAATCCCCCAAAAGAAATCAGACATGTTGAAAGCTAAGAAAGTGAGATCTTTGTACTTTACACTTTTTTAACACATGCAGCCTCACTTCATCATCAGTGCGGACCGCCCACTCAACCACCCTGCATCCCAGCACCCTTTCAGACCGTCTCCTCAGAGGGGGAAGAAGGCGCCGTGCATTTCGTAGACCGAGCCCTCCACCTGCAGTCTCGACAGGCTTGCTTGGACTTCGCGAGGTGCGGCGATGGCTTCGAGTGCCTGAGGCGTCATGCCTCTCTTCGTCTCGCGGTCTGTGTGGCGCAGTATGGCGTCCATGATCCGGCTGTCAACGTCCGAGGGACCCGAGGTCGAGGGGGGGTTAGGCCGCGGGAAGGAGGAAGCGGCCTCCCGTAAGCGAGGTGGAGCCGACTGCAGACATGCCGTCTTTAATGCCTTAGAGGTGGATGAGGAATGTGCAGCGGAATGCTTCTTAAGCCACGATATAATAGATAGCATAAATGCAGTTTCTGCATTGGCATCGCGGGGCTGAAAGACGTGACCTGCCACCACGACCCGCTGCCGCGCGCAGGTAAGTCGCCTGTCCTCCTCTTGATTCCGCATCTGTTGCCCCTGCTTTCCTGTAGATGCGTCTATTGCAGTGTCTTTCCCAGCGTACCGCAGCGCCCCAACTACCTCACACAGCTGGCCAAGCGGGGGGATCAGGTCCTTTCCAACCCTCTCGCCGAGGAGCACCTGTACAAGGCCGCTTCCATCATCCAGCCAAAATCCTGCCCCCTCCTCGCGTTTCGTTACAATGCCATGACATCTTATATTCTCCAGGTGCCGACCATGCCACAATAAAAGTAGCCTGTCCGTCCCCGAATACCTGTTCTCGCGTTGTACCTCCTCCCTCCCCTCCTCCTGCACGCGCGGCAAGGAGTATATAAGTGAGACAAATATACGGGCGGGTGCTGCAGGTAATGATTGGAGAAATGATTCCCATTCTTCTTGCTGATGTCGATTTCGTTTCATGCCGCCCTGTGTGGGTAATGCGATTTCGCGGTGAACGGGACAGGAAGACAGAGGCAACGGTCGTGTCACTTTCGCCCTCGGCGAGAATCGAGTCGCATGCCCGTACGAATATCGATGACTTCCCTTGGAACTCGAGCGCTTGCACTTAGAACTGATCACACCCGCGACTTTGATTAACAGGTGAGAAAGACGTCTGTGGAGCGATTGCGAGTAAAAGGTAACGACTTGCGGAGGACCTTGGCTGTCATTGAAAACGCAGCGGCCCGCGGCATTTGGTGCTGCAGCGCAACGCGTGCGGATTGAAGGAAATAGAGGCCATTGCGTGAAGATATAGACTGCTCTTGAGGCTTGGCATATTTATTTGCTGTTCGCAAAAGGGGTAGCCATATTGGCAGAGGACAAGTATGCCGGGCATTCCTGATCCTCAAACAGCTTTTGCCGTCTCAGGTGAGAATTTCCTTAATAAGAACGAATTGCTTTTGACAAGCCGGCATGGTCGATAGTTCCCACAAATGTCTACGGCATCGTCCAATTTCTTCCTCTGTATTGCGCCATTCTCTTCTTGACAGGGCAAGCCATCCTCCTCACCTTAAGCGGTGGCACGGTCATCTTCCTCCTAGCTGTTCTGGGCTTCAGCGTCATCCACCGCTTCAACCTCTTCCCGCGGACCTACAGTCCCCGCTGGTACTTGCATCCAAATCGTACGCCCATGGTAATAGACCGATACCCGCGCTTCTTGTTCTCGTGGGTGAAGGAGATCTACGCCATCCCGGAGGACGAAATCCTCCGAACGGTGGGGCTGGACGCATTGGTCTTCCTGCGGACCCAGCGCCTTTACGCGCTACTATTCCTGCTCTGCTCCATCTTTGGCCTCGGGGTGCTCCTGCCTCTCAACTTCAAGTACGGCAACCCGGCCACCAACGATTCCCAGTTCGCCCTCACTACCATGGCCAACCTTCCTCCTCGGAACCGCATCGGCAACATGCACGTCTACCGCACGAATATCGCTGCGGCTTGGCTATTCACGGCCTTCACGGTGGGTTTGCTCTGGCTGGAGTACCGCTCCTACATAGCGCTGCGCTTCAAGTGGCTGACCCTGCCTCGCACCCACAACTACTCGGTCATGGTCACGCACATCCCGGCCAAGATGCGGAACGTGGCGGTGCTGAAGGCCTTCTTCGACCGCCTCCTCGCCCCGCACGGCCCCCAGCTCGGGGAGAGCATCGGCAAGGTCCTGAGCGTGACCCTGACCATGAATCTGGCGCGCCTGGAGGCCCTGGTTACCGAGCGCAGTCACGTGCACCGCAGGCTCGAACACACCATCGCCCTCTACGGCCGGCCCGACTCCCGGTTCTGGCGCTGTCTCCACCGCTGTCTCGGGCGAAGCAGCCAACAGTGGCGGCAAGACCTCCTTCACGACGTCCGGCTTCTGTCGGAGCGCCTGCAGACCCTGAACGAGGTGGTGGAGTGCGCCCAGCAGGAGGTGAGGCGGCTGTACTACGGCTATAACGACCCCTCGAATTTTGGCCTCCTCGACGTGGAGGTGATGCCCTCCCACACGGGCGGCACTGTCGGGGCCGCTGACAGTGTGGTCCGTGGCGGGGGGAGCAGCAGCGAAGGCCACAATGAGCTCTCCGTGGAGGAGGGCTCAGCCTGCCCCAAGCAGGACCCCGCGCCCCTGACCCCTCGGAGCGACCTCCTGCCTTCCAACCGCCTTGCCCCTCCCTCGCCGCCCGTCGACGCCATCAGGCCTGCGTCCTTCCCCGCCAGGCAGCTGTCCACCCTCGCCCAGCCTCATGACGGCAATGGCGCGGGTGGGGGGGCGCTTCCCCTCTTCTCGTCTGCCCCAAGGCCTGTCTCTCCTGCCGCCCGAGAGCGGAGTCCTGAGCGGCAGGGGCCCGCGAGGTTGCAGGAGGGCGACCTCCTAGCGACGGTCGAGGGAGATGGGGAATGTGCGCGGGGCTCGGGCGAGGAGGGAAAGAATGAGCTGGACGAGAGCGCCATCGACATCGACGGGATCGACCTGCCCGGCGGCCCATTCCACCTGCAGCCCTCCGGGGGCCCCACGCACCGTTCAAGCCCTGCGCGCACTGCTCCAGCAGAAGGAGAGGACAAGCGCGAGGAGGGTGAGGTCGAGGATGAACTGGGCTTGGCCGGCATGGGGATTGCCATGGGACCCAACGGGGCAGGGGCGCGCGTTGTGGCCTGGGCGGGGGATCTGGCGCCGCCGTCCGAGGACGCACGCTTGGCGACGCGGGGCAACGCTTGCCAGGAAAGAGGAAGCAACAAGGACGGGAATATGCCGGGAGAATATGGCTCCTTCTCGCCCTCTACGCTGCCCTGCGACGACCGCCGGCCTCAAATCAGCACCCGGAGTAAAGCAGTACTGGAGCAGTTTTTCAGGAAGCCGATCAGCTCGGAGGTGTACGGGACAGCATTCGTGACTGTGAGCACGCTCGAAGCCACGGCTATATTGCGGCAGACGGTGACATACCAGCGGGCATTCGAGATCATCGTGGAGGAGGCCCCCCTGCCCGAAGACATCATGTGGACCAATATTGACATCAATTTCGTCACCAGCTACCTTCGGACCGCACTGGGTCACCTCCTCACGCTGGCAATCACCATCGCTTTCGCCTTTCCCACAGCCTTCATCTCAGCTCTGAACAGCGTGGAGACTTTGAAGAGAAAGTTTCCTGCGCTGAATGACTGGCTACCCAGGTCGGACGAGGACAATCGATGGATCAACGCAGTACTCGCTCTTGTTGCGCCCCTACTCCTGCTCATCCTCCTCTCTATCATTCCGCCTATCTTCGGCCTGCTGACGCTTCGTGTTATCAAGGATTCTCGGACCATTTCGGAGGCTCATTACCACGTGTTCAAACGGTACTTTGGTTTCCTCTTCTACAACGCTTTGGTGATCTTCATGGTCACTACCTCCGTCGTCGAGACGGTCAAGCGGGCGTATTCGAATCCCATCGAAATTCTTAACCAAATTGGTATAACACTGCCCAAGCCTGCGGCCTTCTTTATCAATTTTACGATCATCAAAGCCTTGACGGGGCTACCTTCTGAGCTGATGCGAACCATGGCCTACCTTACTCACCTAGTGAAGATCATATTCGTCGACGAGCTAACGGAGCAGAATCGTGCGCAGATGGTGATTGGCTGCCGAAGTCTTACTCATCCTGGCGGCTTCCATTACGGGAAATTTTTGGCAGAGCACACGCTGCTTTTTGTTTATTCGATGTGCTATTCCTGCCTGGCACCGCTCATCCTGCCAGCTGGTTTTCTCTTCTTTGCTGGTGCATTTTTGGTATACAAACGTCAACTCCTTTTCGTCTACGAGCCTGAATACGAAACAGGTGGGAAAATGTTCAAACTCATCCTCCGCTACACTTTTACTGGCCTTTTCGTTGCTCAATTTGTCATGTTTGTGATGCTCGTCACTAAGTTGGCCTACGAAGATATCCCTTTCTTTCTCCCCCTGCCCATCGCTACCTACTTCGCGAAAGACCTGATTATCAAATGGTATGGACGCCTTGAGAACCATGTTCCCCTTTCTCTTGCGGTAGCGAAGGATGTTCGCTTTTGGCGGGGCCCTGGTAAGGTGCCTTCTTCCCGCACGGGCGAGATTCTGGACTTGGGAAAGGATACTTTTCACCATCCCGCTGTACGCGCCCCTTGGTGCGAAATAACACAAAATGTGCCCCGGGCCTCCGGAGGAAATTCCTTCGATATAATGATGCTGCAAGGCCGTGCGGGCATTGGTAACATATACGATCGTCTCGACAAGTCTGAGGCAACCTTCTATGAGAGAAGTAATAGCAAGACCAACACTTTCCGAAGTATGGGACGCAGGAGATAGCTCGATATTTGGGTAAAGGAAAGGAATGCTTGTCCGAAACATATGTAAATATGGGTGCAAAGCAAGATGAAAGCCTTTGAATTGTACACAAGAACGCGCCTGCTCGCGATCCAAACCTGCCTTCACAATTTTTCTTTCAAAGAGGGTATGAAATGAATCTCAGTAGCCCGAGCTCGCTCACGTTCCTTTTTCTGCTTCCCATAAATGGTGTGCCCCCCAAAAAACGAAGCAAACTCGACTTTTTCCTCCAAATATGCATTACACAATCGCGCTATGCAGATGGCGTGGCCGCTGACAACTCCTGCAGGCATTATTTCTGCTTCGACAAGAAGATGGAATAGCGGTCTCTCATGCCTACCAGGTCCTGTCCCCTCTATACATGCCTACGCTTGATGTTGCTGGAGACGGGTGAAGGATCGCTCTGTCGTTTTGAAGTGAGGGGAAATGGGCACCGTCAACTTGCGTACACGCGAGCCGGTACCTAAGCCATTCCCCTTTGGAGCCGGCTTCGAAGTCGAGTCGGGCTGCATTTTTGAAGTCAAGCGTGCGCCGCGAAAATCATCTCTCGCATCCCGGGGTCGGGCCTTGTCGCCAGGTGCTTCTTCGCTTCGCTCCTGTATAATATCCTCGGATGCTTTGCGGTCCAGGACGCGTGCGGAGGTGCTCAAATTCTCAGAATGAGGATGCCGATGGACTACCTTCAAAGGTTTCGATAGAGCCCGCTCAACGAGGGAGCCAGGGCCACTTTCTTCCAAAGAACCCCCAAACTGCATGTGCTCCGCTGTTTCAAGACACTCCATCTCCAGCTGCCAAGCATTTTGCGCCTCGTCCTGTCGATGAACCGAGGGGAGGCGCAGCTCACTGGTTTCCAAGACTTCTTGCGCGCACGCTGCGGACAGGATTTTTCGGGAAGCCAAAGCAGGCGAGGAAGAAGCTTTCATCTCGAGCTCCACCTGCTCCTCTCGAGCACTTATGCGGGCCTTGGACGCCATCTTGGACTCGGCCGCGGACAGCTGAAGAGGCACTGACTTGTTGCGCTGGTGCTTTCCTTCGTACGTTTCAGTCTGCACCCGACCGGCCTCAGAGAGAGCTCCTCGCAACCGATGCCGGCTATCCGTCTTGAAATGAAATGGTTGAGAAATCGTGACACCGCCTTTTGAGACCTTTGGCACACCCATCTCTCCCGTCGACTCTAGTATACGACGGTCCAGCGGCCTGGCCTTGAATTGGTGCCGATTCTCTTCCGGATCTCGCTCTTGCCCCTGCCTACCCTTTCCAAGGTCGACATGAACAGCTTCTCCCATCGAATTGTTTCGCACAGCGGCACGCATTTGGGTGCTCAGTTTGAGGGTTTGCGGAACGGTCAACGTGCGGGGTGACATATGTCGAGGGGCGTGCTGTCGCAGAGCCCCGCCGCCGCTTGCATTGACGCGCTGCTTCTGTAGGGGCGGAAGGTGACTTTGAGGGAAGGCCTCGGCCTGATAGCTGCCGTTGGGCACATTGGTACTCCCCTGGTATGTAGGCGAGTTGCGGCGGGCGAGCGCGCGCATTTCAGTGTGGAAAGAGGGGGCCATCGGGACGGTCAGGGGCCTCGAGGCCTTCTGACTGGCGTTGATTGCTCCATGGGAGACAGTGCGAGAGGCTGGGCGCGGCTTGGCATAGATTTCCACCGCTGGATCTTTGCTGTGATGGCTTACAGTACTAGTGCTCGTGTGCTTCTCCCCACGCCGGGCACTGAGTCGCAAATGGGGGGACTGAGGGATGGTCAGGGCCTTCGTGGAGCGCAGGGGGGCAGAGCCCGCGGTACCTCCCACCATGCGATTGCGTTCGTAAGCGAGTCGATTTGTCCGAATCTGCTGCTTTAGTCGCTCCTTGGCTTCAGCGGCCAGTCGCATCTCCCGCTCTTCTGTCGACTCTTTCGCGTGCTGGCGGGCGTTGCCGGAGGAAACTCCGGTATCCCCGGCCAAAGAACGAACAGGCCCACCCCGGCTGGGAGGGCGTGGAGGAATGACGTGTTTCCTAGAATTTCTATCCCTGAGCTTGGTGTCGTCGCTCTGATTGCGGCCCCAGGACGCCAGGGTGGGGCGCAGAAAGGAGGCCATACTGTTGACGGCGGCAGTCCTCCCGACCGTGGGGGCAGTTTGAGCCAGAAATGAGTGATGAAGGGGAGGCGCTCCACTCGTGGATTCCTTACGCGGACGGCTTACAAAGGCCCGAGCAGATATATTGTTTCCCTCGTTCAACCCACGGAAAGGCGTGGTAACGACAGGAGCTGCTTCCTCAGCCTTTACGGCGGGAGGTGGAGAAGCCGTACGGGTTACAGGGATGCAGAGCTTGCGGGTAATGGGGTTTGATGTGATGGTACCTTTGACAGAGGGCGATCCCGACCTCGGTAAAGAAGCCGAGGGGGGGAGTGAGGTCGACGTGGGAGCAAGCTGGTTACCGGGCTTTGGCGAGGCAACGACTGAGGGCGGACTGCTCGGAGCCATCGGAGCGCCAGAGGAAGAAGGCTGTCGCAAAGGTGCTACATCGATATCTGCGCCGTGTGGAGGATCGATCTTGGTCGTGATAGTTTGGCGAGGTACTTGAGGAGAGGCAGCTTTAGGCTTCACGGCGGAGGACATGGGCGCGACCGCAGCCACCAAGTGGGGGGAAGTGGCAATGCTTCTACCTTGGGGACCATGCCATGCGACGGCAGGCGGTGACGACGTTTTGGTAGTACTTAAAGCATTCAGGTCCGTCCATGTTGGCGCATCGAAGTCCCAGGGGTCGGTCGAGAGGTTAGTTTTGGATGTCGCTGATGGAGGGGGGGCTGTCGCGGTAGGCGCAAAAGCGCTTTGTGCGGTCATGCTTGTAGAGCCACCACTTTCTCCCCGTGTAAAATCAAAATACTGAGGTGCATTAAAATCATAGGGATCTGTTGTTGTTGCCATACTCTCGGCAGCTTCCGCTACAGTACAGTGAGGGGTTGGTTGCCTAAGGAGGTGAGATTCCACTTTTTGTTAGCAAGTGTTTTTTCATGGCCCAATCATGCCCAAGATCTGACCACTTAATGTTCTTTACAACCTTGTTAATGACGTGAAGTCATTATACTCGTCTGGAGGCGTGCATGTGACGTTTTAAGGATCATGCACGGCAGGAGTGGGCCAAAGCGACCACAGGCGCGAGCGGGCGGGGAAATTTCAAATTTCAAAAATCAACCTCCCACTGCTTCAACACAATAATGACATAAAAACACAACAACGCGTCTGTGCAATCCACACAAGAAAGGTTATTTTCGTCCCGGACGTCATGTCCGAGAAGGTATCATCGGGATTTGCAACACATGACATTGTCTACATCGCATACATGAAATGCATAACACACAATCATTCTTACTTTTTTAACAATACATCTTAACTATCTCTTCTAGTGTCCACATTTGCAAAGTTTCAAATGACTGAGATTGCGAGCGATGACAGAGTCGGCAAGCAATGTCACCCATTCCCATGTTGAGGAAAAGTAAGCCCTCCCTTTCCCATCCTCTGCATTCCCCTCTTCTACCACAAAACACAATGCTATTCCCCTTTCCTCCCCATCAAAAGGGAGAGTGTACAACAGCGGCCTTCCCTGTATTCCTGCCATGTTGACCTTCTGTTGCAATGAGATATTTAGGGCGTCCAAATCCACCCCATGTGTCAGCCTTAGGTGGTCGGCTGTGACTCCCAATGATGGGGCCCCAGTCAGGCGGAACGTCACGAGACAATCCACCCAGGACGGCAAAGAATGAGGTGCTGCTCCTGCATAGTTCCTCTTTAGTTGCTGCCGTAACAGGGGCCCCAAAATTGCGCGAGCATCCATGACCTCCATTCGCTTGTCCAGGGCAATCATATCCCGAATTCGTGCCGCCAAAGACGAAGAAGCCAGATGAGGATCTGATAGTGGAAAGGATGTTTCCTCATCATCAGCTTTGCAGGCATTTTGTAGCGATGTTTGTATTTGGCTTTTCTGGTAACCTGAGAGTCGCCCGATGAAAACGACTTGCGTCCCGGGTGCGGAAGACCATGTTCCCTCGTCTGAGAGATGGAAACGGCGACGCCCACTTATGGATAAGGCGACCCGGCGACCTGCCAATTCCCGTACGTACAGAAAACCCTTGCTGCGTATTACCGCCTCTGCAGGGAAGACGTGGGAGAAGAAGCGCTGTAATTTACGAAGTAAAAAAGGGCTTTTACTCTCGAATGTAAAGGCAGAGATGCCCTCAGACACTAAATGGGACCTTGAATTCTGGTCCGAGGCCGCCGTCGCGGCCCCGGTGAAGAGATCGGTCTTTCTGGCTCTGCTGCTGACAGCTTGAGAAGGCTCAGATCGAAGAGTGGAGACCTTTCGGGTAGCATAAAGAGCGTTGCTTTCTTCGTGTGTCATGCTCCCCGCCCCCAAATCAGGTAACTCCACGTCAAGCACGCAGGGTAGAGGTAAGTCAGCGAAGCGTGTCCGGTGTATGCGTGCAAGCGGGTTAAGCTTCCGTAAGAACGCTTCCAAATCATCGAGATAAGCTAGGTCTTTCACTAGGTCCGTCTTATTCAGTATAATCACGTCGGCGCACTCGATTTGACGGCGTCGTGTCGGGGGAATTCCTGGATGAGATGCGGAGGGTACGTGCGCAGACAAGGTAGCACCTCTCGTGTCACGAACAGCAGGTGTAGAGTCCACTAATTCTGCATGTAATACATCAGCGTCCACCATAGTAACGACGCTGTCAAGGCGAGCTCGTGTCATCTTGCCGAATTTCTCGTCCAGCGCCTGGATAATCCTCTCAGGGTCCGTCACGCCGCTAGTCTCTATCACTAGGTAGTCGATCGCCCGTTCTTCTTGCTCTGGTGTCTGCAGACATTCCCAAATATTCTGTCTCATTTCTTGCTGTAGGTGTGAACAGCACAGACAACTGCCATGTAAGTCCATAATGCGGTCGGAGGGGGCGTTACTCTTATCTGGAGAGAGTCTGGCGGCTTGGGAGAAACCGTGGTTACTCGGTGAGGAGGAGTTGGCCACCGTTTTCTCCAGTTGTAAAAGTTGCACGTCGTGGTTGAAATCACCCAAATCATTGACCATCGC